GGAATTTGGTAAATTTTGTATGATTGGACTCGTGGTTGAATGGTCGTTCATATTTTGTAACTTTTGTCGGGTTCCGATACGTGGTCCCCGCTGGCAATTTTTGAGTGTTATTTCGTCTTTTGTGGGAAAAATTAGTATTTTGATATGGAATTAATTCCTACAATTTGTGTTGACTGAATCGAATTAATTGTGACTAGATTCGAACCGTTCGGAAGTTGATACGCATAGAATGGAATTTCTGGAGCATTGTTTAGCTTGCACGACATAGGATTTGACTTGTTCGAGGTAAGTAACTCTTCTAATCTTGGAGCCGAGGGTATGAATCCTGATTATACGTGTTATGTGTTTGGTGTTGAGGTGACGCACATGCTAGGTGACGGGCGTGTGGGCGTGCACCATGAGAACTGTGATTCTGTTATTCCTGTGGTACTGTTTAGTTACCTGAACTTATTTGTAATCATGAAAATCTCTACGTACTAGAGCTATTGATCTGTGATCCATGTTAGAAACCATGTCTAGGCTACATGCTTATTCTGTTGGGACCCATTGAGGTCGTTACTGCTGTTGAGTTGTTTGCTTACATTTGAAAATTCATACTTAGTCATGTTCATTCATATCATATCATATCTCAGTCTCTGTTGTTATTTATTGATATATCATATCATCAATTTTAGGCTAGTTTTATGACATTGTGAGGCCGAGAAACTGGAGAGATTGATGACTGGGTGAGGCCGAGGTCCTGATTGTGAGGATATTGATACTATAGCACGTGAATTGTCCGTACGGTTTATAGCATTTGGGTTGAAGGAGTCCCTCCGGAGTCTGCACATACCCCTAGTGAGCGCGATTGATTTATATTGAGGGACAGATCTTCCCTGGACATGGATATTGTTCGAAGCATTTATATTGAGGGAAGGATCTTCCTTGGACATGGATCTTGTCTGAAGTATTTATATTGAGGGAAGGATCTTCCTTGGACATGGATCTTGTCTGAAGTATTTATATTGAGGGATGGATCTTCCCTATACATGGATCTTATCCGAAGCATTTATATTAAGGGATGGATCTTCCCTGGACATGGGTATTGTCCGAATCATTGATATTTGGGGATGGATCTTCCCCTGGGCTGGATTGGCCTTGTACAGTACTGAGTGACTGGATGCCAGTTATTATGTATATATATTGGGATGGATCTTCCCTGGGTTGGATTGGCCATATACAGTACTGAGTGATTGAATACTCTAAGAGTGCGAGTACATGAGCTCATCTCTGAGATACATAGCATTGACATGCACACATGACATACATGCATAGACATATATTTTTCTCATGTTGTACGGTATCACGTCATTCATGACTTCTCATACATATTGATATATGGGTATAATAATGCATTTTACACTTGCTTTCTGGAAAGAAATGAAACATCTTATTTATTGTTAAAAGGAGTTTTGGGAAAATTATTATTTTTAAACTTACTCATATATTTGGCAACTTCGCTAAACGACTTGGGTTTTCACTGATACACTTGAAAGGCAGAACTATTTTCAGAAATCATGATTAAGCTGAGCATTTTATCTTTGAGTTACTTCTATTATTACTTGCTTTATGTTGTTATGAATTATTGTTGGTTATTGGAATTGGACTCTGACCTTTGTTCCAGCTCATCACTACTTTCAACCTAAGGTTAGTTTTGTTACTTATTGAGTACATGGGGTCGGTTGTACTCATACTACACTTCTGCACCTTGCGTGCAGATGTTGGTTGCTGATTTTGCTGTGATCGACGGGAGCTGGAATTGAAGACGTACATGCATTCCAGTTGTAGCTGCCTCTTGTTTATGGTAGCCTTAGATTTATAAAAATCTGTTTATGTACATTTCGAACAGATGATGTATTTATTTCATACCAACTTTGTAAATTCTAATCTTAGAAGCTCATGATTTGTACTACCAGTTCTTGTGGAAAAGTATCAGTTTTAGATATTTTCTTTTAATTAATTGCCTTATTAGTTTCATTGAAATTGGTTAGTTGTTAATTGGCTTACCTAGCGGGTTGGGTTAGGTGTCATCATGACTAATAAATTTTGGGTCGTGACATGAACCAAGTGAGGTGCATCAAAGATGAAGATGACAAGGTATTGGTGGACGAGACGTGCATTAGGCGCATGTGGCAGTCATACTTCCATAAACTCTTGAACGAGAATGGGGACAAGAACATTATGCTTGGCAAGTTGGAGAACTCAAAGAACCAGCGTGATTTTAGGTTTTGAAGGCGTATTAAGGTTAAGGAGGTTGAAGAAGTAATGCGAAAGATGAGTAGATGCAGGGCGACTGGGCCAGACAAGATCTCGGTAGAATTATGGAAGGCTGTGGGATGGGTAGGCTTGGAGTGGCTTACTGTCACGACCCAAAATTTCCACCTTCGGACCGTGATGGCGCCTAATATTTCACTTGCTAGGCAAGCCAACGTCAGAATAATATTATCCATTTTAAAATAATTTTTAAATTTATTAATAACAAAGAATTAAATGCGTAAGTAAAGTCTAAAATGTAGTGAATAATCCATAAAATAACGGTGTCTAAATATCATCTCAGAATTGGTGTCACAAGTGCACGAGCTTCTAGAATAATACAAATAAATGTCTAAATAAAATAAAGCTATCTGGAAACAAACACACAGCTAAAGTAAAGTAGACGGGGACTTCAAAACTGCGGATGTCGTGCAGCTATACCTCAAGTCTCCTCTGATAGCTGAAATCCAAGCAAGTCTATGGTACACGTCGTTGGGACCAACTCTGAAATCTGCACAAGAAGTACAGAGTGTAGTATCAGTACAACCAACCCCATGTACTGGTAAGTGCCGAGCCTAACCTCGACGAAGTAGTGACGAGGCTAAGGCATGTCACTCACATTAACCTGTACGCAATAATAGTAACAATAACAATAATAGAAATAAATCAGGTAACTCATTTTTTTTATAGTTGAAGCCAACTTAGCAGTCATAACCAATTATTCTTTCGACCAATTTCCGTTGCAGCGTGCATTCCCTCAATATATTCATTTTCAACCCTCCAATATATTTATTTTAATCGANATAATATATTCTTTTAAATAAGTCTGTTGTGGTGTGCAATCCGATCCCCCAATATAGACTTTTAAATAAGTTTATTGCGACGTGCAATCCGATCCCACAATATATTCTTTTTCATTTTCGTTGCAGCGTGCAACCCGTTCCCCCAATATAACTTTAAACAACTCATAAATATAATAAAAATTACTCTAATAAATACCACGTCCAATGAGAAACTATTAAGCATCAAGGCACACAATAATTATAATTTATCTATGAGCAAACAATGGCAATTATCAATTAATTATGAAAATCGTGGAGCAAATAGGGAGTTAATATTTAGTATGCTAAATGTCAAATAACAATTAAGACACATAAATCAAATAACATGCAACAATTATTGTAGGAATTCAAGAATTAATATTTGACAAAGAATAGGAGAGAAACAATTATTATAACAATTAATTCATAAATTCACGGATTCATGATGTAATGAGTATGGAATCATAAAATATAATCAATATAGGATAAAGAACACTTACCTCCAATATTTTTCCGTAAAAATCGCCCAAGAATCGCCTTACCCGAGCTCAAAAATGAAAAATGGTTGAAAATGGGTCGAAACCCCATTTCCAGAACTTAAGTTTTGTTTTTCAGATTTTTTTTCATCGCGATCACGGAAATTCGTTCGCGATCGCGTAGAACAAGTTTTGCCCAGGTTCATTTAGCTCTACGCGATCGCGTAAAAGACCATGCGATCACAAAGAACAATTTCTCAATCTTACGCGATCGCGTACAGGTTTATGCGATCGCGTAGCACAATTTCAGTGCTTCAGCTTCTGCCTCATTCCTTCTACGCGATCGCAACTTGGTCCTCGCGTTCGGAGTGCACTGGGAGCTAGCTTTCCGCGTTCGCGTGCCTATCTTCGCGAACACGAAGAGCAAAACTCACGGCTCACAATTTTCTCTTCGCGATCGCGAAACACAATGCACCAGATGACAACAGAAGCTCAAAACCCAGATTTTCTAAGTGCAAAATCATCCTGTAGCCTATCCGAAACTCACCCGAGCCCTCGGGGATCCAAACCAAACTTGCACCCAAGTCCTAAAATATCATACGAACTTGCTTGCGCGATCAAATCGCCAAAATAACACCTAGAACTACGAATTGAACACCAAATCGAATGAAATTTTCAAAAATACTTTAAAACTTATATTTTCACAACTGGACGTACAAATCACGTCAAATCAACTTCGTTTCTTACCAAATTTGGCAGACAAGTCATAAATATTATAATGGACCTACAATGGGCTCCAAAATCAAAATACGTATCCGGTGTCAATAAATCCAACATCAGTAGATTCTTAAAAATCATTAAGCTTTCAAACTTTTAATTTTTTTTAATCAAAATTCCATATCTCGGGTTAGGGACCTTGGAATTCGATTGCGGGCATACGCCCAAGTCCCAAATTACGATACGGACCTACTGAAACTGTCAAAATACTGATCTGAGTCTGTTTGCTCAAAATGTTGACCAAAGTCAACTCAGTTGAGTTTTAAAGCTCTATTTCACATTTAAATCCATTTTTCACATAAAAACTTTCCAAAAAATTTTACGGACTACGCACGCAAGTCGAGGAATGATAAATAGTATTTTTTGAGGTCTTAGGACACATAATTAATTATTAAATTTAAAGATAACACTTTGGGTCATCACACTTACTAGACTGTTTAATGTCATTTTTAGGATTAAGAAGATGCCCGAATAATGAAGGTGGAGTTTGACGGTCCCGTTGTACAAGAACAAGGGTGATATTCAAAATTGTAACAACTACAGGGGTATTAAGTTACTGAGTCACAATATGAAAGTGTGGGAGAGGGTGGTGGAAAGGAGGAGTGTGTCTATTTCGGAGAATCAGTTCGGTTTCATGCTGGGATGTTCAACCACAGAAGCCATTCATCTTGTGAGAAGGTTGGTGGAACAGTACCGGGAGAGGAAGAGGGACCTGCATATGGTATTTTTCGATTTAGAAAAAGCTTACGATAAAGTCCCAAGGGAGGTTCTATGGAGATGTCCGGAGGTTAGAGGTGTTCCGGTAGCGTACATTAGGGTAATTGAGGATATGTATGATGGAGCGAAGATTCCGGTGAGGACTGTGGGAGGAGACTCAGACTATTTTTCAGTAATGATGGGGTTGCATCAGGGTTCAACTCTTAGCCCATTTATATTTGCCATGGCGATGGACGTGCTGACACGCCACATTTAGGGGGAGGTACCATGGTATATGTTATTTTCAGATGACATAGTGCTAATCGATGAGACGCGCTGCAGGGTTAACGGTCGGCTGGAGTTGTGGAGGCAGACCCTGGAGTCTAAAGGTTTCAAGTTGAATAGGACAAAAAGATAAATATTTTGAGTGCAAGTTCAGTATGGAGTCGTAGGAAACATAAGTTGAGGTGAAGCTTGATACACAAGTTATCCCCAAGAGAGATAGTTTCAAATATCTTGGGTCTGTTATTCAGGGGAACGAGGAGATTGACGAAGTTGTTACTCATCGTGTTGGAGTGGGGTGGTGAAGTGGAGGCTTGCGTCTGGTGTTTTATGCGATATGAATATGCCTCCAAGACTTAAGGGCAAGTTCTACAAAGTGGTAGTGAGGCCGACTATGTTGTATGGAGCAGAGTGCTGGCCAATCAAGAAATCTCATGTCTAGAAGATGAAAGTAGCAGAGATGAGGATGTTGAGATGGATGTGTGGGCAAACTAGGAAAGACCAGATTAGAAATGAAGTTATTAGGGACAAGGTGGGTGTGGCCCCTATGGAAGACAAGTTGCGAGAATCGAGACTGAGATGGTTTGGGCATGTGAAGAGGAGAGACACCGATGCCCCGATGTCCCGGTTAGGAGATGCGAGAGGTTGACTATAACGGGGCATAGGAGAGGTAGAAGGAGGCCTAGAAAGTACTGGGGAGAGATGATTAGGCAAGATATGACATTACTTCAGCTTACCGAGAATGTGACCCTCGATAGGGAGGTGTGGAGGTCGAGGATTAGAGTTGTGATTTACAGGTAGTCGAAAGTCTCTTCTAATCGTACTAGTAGTTGTAGTACTAGTCCGGTATTCTCTTATTCCGAGTTCTTTGTTATTAGACGATGTGTCATTATTGCTGGTAGTTTTTGCATTTCTCTTGTAGCTTCGTATTCCTTTGCTATTACAGATTGTGCTATTTGTTTCTGTTATCATATTTCCTTACTATTGTTATTGTTTGTTTATTGTGTCTTTTTCATTGTTCTTGTGCCGAGGATCTATCGGAAACAACCTCTCTTCCTTCATAAGGCATGAGTAATGTATGCGTACACATTACTCTCCCCAAACCCCACTATGTGAGATTGTACTGGGTTTGTTGTTGTTGTTGTTGTTGTTGTTGTGATATTGACTAAAACTATTTGGGAAGCAACAAAATAAGAAAAATATTTGAAACATGATTTTCTCACCTTATTTTGTTTTATTTTATTAGTGCCATTTAATAAGCCAAAAAAAAATATTTGAAACATGATTTTCTCACCCTTTTTGTTTTTTTACTTTTTATTTAGTCTTTGGATTTGTAAGTGACAATGTGCTTTAGGTGATATGGGTTCGTTTCATTCACGTGCAAATTCATTGCTGTATTTTATGAAATAAATAAAGTTGAGGATAATAAATTGTTATCTAATAATTGAGGTGTTAATGATATTGGTGATTAATGAGTTTTTCTTATTTTATTTTCCTTTCGCCGTCCATTGCATGAGCTTAAAGATAAGCAAAATCTTATAGACATTGCTTTAAGATTAATCCATATATTCAATTGAGGCTGTTTATCGTTTTATTGTTGTCGTTTTGCTTTCAACTTGTTTACTTGAATTAAACATTAGAAAATAAAAATAAAAAATAAAAAAGATAAGAGATTAATAAATTGGTGGATTTAATCAAATAACCTCGATGCAAAGGCGGATATAACACTAATGCAATACGTTTTACTGAATCTAATATTTTTGATACAGATCATAAATTTAAAAAATAATAAAATATCAATAAATATTAAATTTTGAATAATAATATTAAGATTATAACAAGTTCAATAAAAATTAAACCATCAAGTTAAAATAATATATACGATCTTATTTTATCGGTTGTTATAACTCGAGATATATATATTTTTTTATTTCTCATTTAGTATTCGATATTTATATTAAAGCTTATATTAATTCGAGTTTACATTGTGTAAAGTTCATTAATGGAGGAACCGCTTCCTATGAAAAAACTTTCATTCTCAAAATTCAAGTTCATTGTACCACAACCGTAAATAACTATCACATATACAGACATACAGTTAATGAAATAAAGAAACGAAATTTACTCGTGCTATTATTAAATCCAATAATATATCTTAATATTTACAAATTAAACGAAAAGTACAGTCTTAATTAACTATAGAAAAATAACAGTTTATTCCAAAGAGTACATTTCAAGAGCACCATTCATAGTAAGTTTTTTTTTTCCTTATCACACAGAGAGCATTTTCAACAACACAAATTGGTGAATTACCGTTGAAATCTCCTTTCTTTTTATCCTTTTCTTATCTATTTTACTCTCTTCAATTTTCAGAAATTCTATCTATGATATCCGTCTGTTATCTCGTCGTCGCATGATCAAATCTCACTCTGGTTAGTTTTTTCAATTAGAAGTTTCAGTTTTTATTTGTTCGTGTATATTTCTCTTTTGTCATACAGTCAAAATGCATGCATTAGGCTCTAAAATGAAGCATTTTTTGTGGATTTTGCTTGGATTTTACTTTGATCTCGATTTTCATGTCTTACTTAAAATTGGGGGTTTTCATTTTGAGCTTTATATTTTTTTATTTTTTTTATTTTATATATATATTTGCAGGGATCAGTTACGGTTAATTTATCTCAACATTCATCTGCTTTGTAATTACTTGAAGGCAACATCCGGGAAAAGAACCGATTTGGATGGTAAAAAGGTGCGGTTTTGAGTTTCCATATTTTACTCTTTTCATGTTCTTGTGTATCACTTGCATGTTTACTTCTGTAATAATGCTGATATATGTATTGATGAAGAAATAGCAAACAAGGGAAATCCCAAAAGAAAATAGAAGTAGAGGAGGAAGAATAGATAGAAAGATAGAAAATAAGAACTAAATTGATAGAATTAGGCCGCAGTTTGTATTTAACACTAATTACATTCTAATTACGTAATAATTGATCCTAATATATCGAAGATAAAGGAAGGAGATTACCAAAGAAGATCCACACCTTTAATGGCAATCCAAGGAGTTCTTCAAGAATCCAAAAGGTCTCCATAGAACCTAAGATAAGCATATCCAAAACCAGTTAAAAATCTCGCACTACTCCAATTTATACCTACTAGCTAAACAATGACCTTAGGCCCGACTTCAACTATTCAAAATTAATAGCAGTCCTAACATAACTAAAGGGGTCGCGAGGCCAGTGAAGCGTGTGGGACCATGCTTGAGTCATTCTGAAAGCTCAAATTGTGATAAAATCTTGGTCAACTTGTGGTCAACGCTGGTCAAGCCCGTGGTCAATACCAGTCAAACTTGGTCAACTCTCGATCGGCCCTTCATAAAGCCTTCCAGTCTTCTTAATTACTAAAGTTCGTAGCCATGCTGTTGTCATGTGTGTCCTCATAATAAGCTTTCTTTTCTGATTTCAGCGAAGAGAAAATCAAATGGAGACACTTTAGAAACAATTATTCAGAAAGGTAAAAACTTTATTCTCATAATTTATGTATCTACGACCGTCGCTTATAAGAAGGTTAAAAATGTAGGTTTAAAATCGTTCACGTGGTTTATAGGTAGAGTTGTTTGGGAATATATTAAGCAAGTTTTAATTTGGTAATCTTGTTCTCTTGGCTGTGCCTTTATTAGAAGTTCCTTGAGTTACTTGTACTATTAGGTTCAGAAGTCTGAGCATGTATGGTAAAGAATTTGATGCTTTTCTTATAACTTCATTTTTAAGAAATCTGTTTGGGCCAACCCTTAGGACCGACTGCGACCTTTGAAACCCGAGGATATTGGTCCATCCCTTTACTATCCACTTAAATACCATGGTACATGTCTTGAACCTGTGACCTAAGTCACAAGTCCCTCAACCTTTGCCACTTGAACTAAGTCTTGGGGGCTTTAATAATTCTATTAATTATGGAAAAAAATTTAACAGCATATTATGATTCTATGAAGGACACAATACAAATAGGAATTTCATGAGTGCACCAAAAAAAAAACTAGAAATGAGAGGCTATAAATATACATAGTCATTCTCTATTCCTTCAAAAGCTCTCCTATTTCTCTCTTTCTACACGGCCAACATGATTTCTAATGGTGCTACATCCCACGCTCATTGGCTTCTCTTCTTGCTTCTAACGTCAGATAGCCTCCTTTACTGTGCATCACCCATTGCAGCCCAAACGAGCGCAAAATCTCACACCACAAGCAATTTACCCCTTGACAAGTAAAAGGAGGAGGTCCACATCTTCACCTGAACTTTTGCACATAAAGCACCAGCTGACATATGTAATGCCCATTTTCTCAAATTCTCAGCTGTCAGGATTGTTCCACTGTTGCTGCCTGCTAGCCAAGTAAAAAAGGACACCTTTTTTGGTGGCGTGGTGATCCGAACTGATAAATGTTGAAAATCCAGTTCCTCCCTCGGCAAGAGCTGATGACAATATGACTACACTGAAAAGTCTCTTATCTCTTTCCACCCTTCACCCACCTCCAACTTCCATGAGTCATGACTAGCGCATGATATAGTTGGTTTGTAAAGCATTTCAGCCAGAACTTGAAATTCAGCTGCTTCCCAGTCATGAAGTATTTTATGCTATGTGGTTGAAGATGTTTACTGTGGAATTACACTCCTGTATTGATGGCTTAGTTTTGTCACAAACATGGTGTGTATGATTTTTGTTAATGGTTGAGAAATCCGTTGTTTCAGCTTGTAAACTCAGTGGCTAATTCCGGCTTTTTGCTGCCCTTCTCCACCCAAAATACTGGACTAGGTCCAACACTAGGTTTCAAGCTCGTCATGTACTTGCCACACATCCAACCCGTACTACCTTTTTCGTTGAACCAACACTAGGTTTCAAGCTCGTCATTTGTATTGAAATAATGACACTGATACAGAAACAAATCTACAACAATTTCTGTATCAGTGTCATTATTTCTGTCGTATCTTCTGACAGTAATTT